TGGACACCATGTCACTTGAGGAGCAGCTGAAGGAAGGGGGTGCCTGGCTTGAGGAAGAGTGGGAAGGACCATCATGAGACAGACCTGCTCGTGGCAGCCTCAAGGACACACCCCAGAACAGAGGGTGGATGGAGGCCATGGGGAGACGGACTTAGTTCTGTTCAAGCGGCCTACAGATGCAGTGGCAGAGAGCTCCCTGTCACTGGAGGTAGTTAAGGAAAGACTGAAGTCCCTCTTGCTGACGGTCAGAGGGATGGCACTTTCAAATCTTGCGGGAGGCAGGGATGTAATACTGACCTCGGGGGACAATTGCCAGGATTTAGGGAGATGACATGGTTCACCATGGTGCCCACACTGCCCTACACCCGGTAAGGCTTCATTTCCCTTCCCCCTGCCAGGCCACATGCCTCAGGGTGTGTGGTTTTGAGACCTTTTCCATGAGCAGATTCTGATGGGGAGATGGGAATGAGGGTCCAAGGAGTGGCCAGTGGGGAAGTTCAAGGGCTTGAATGATGCACTGCACCGGCTTCTTGGTTCTGTCTCATCCCACAGCTGGGCTTGGCCCTGGGAACAGGCTGGGGAGGCCAGACCACAGGAGCCAGAGGAGGAGACAAAGAGGGGATGGGGGAGAAGGGGAGGCTTCCCGCTCGCAGGAGACTGTGCTCTGCCTTGCTTGGCCCTGCAGACTGTCCTCTTCTCTGATGGACAGGGTGGACGTGGGAAGAGGCTGGCTTCTGCGCTCCCACTACCTCCTAACTTCGGGGCATGTCTCCAGCTTGGGCCTCAGCTCGTGGGGGCTCAGCAGATGTCCCTGCCCTGAGCAGTCTTCCGTGTTTCCTCAGTTCCTTTACATACAATTGATTTAACACCCCCAGGGCTCTGGGAGGGCAGGTGCTCCTGGTTGGGGAGGTGTAGTGACAGATCACAGAGCTAGGAAACCCGTGACAGGCCAAGACCCAAACCAGATCTCCTGATTCTGACTTCCGGCCTCTGATTCCTCACTTGAGTTGGCATGGCAAGGCCTCAAACCAGCCCTAAAATAGGAAAAAATGGTCCCTCCCTTTTGTCTTTTCCATAGCGTTCGGAGAAGCAGGGAGAGGAGGTAACAAGAACCATGAGTGTTGAAAAGAGACCTAATCTCTCCTTTCCTCATGCAGATAATAGGAATGTTTATAGAGTCTATCTTAGATGGTTATCTTGAGGTTCAAATGGGATAATTTCAAAAGCCTGAGCAGTGTGCCAGGTACATAGTAAGTGTTCAATAAACGGTTAATTTTGTAACACTGGAAGCATAAGGCCTCCCACAACGTGTGCCTCCTGGGGCCGGTATGGGAAAGGTCTGCTAGTGTCCCACTATTTTCACAAAGGACTCTGAGTATCACCCCTACTCTCCCATCCTCCACCCCCTGCTGCCACAACCAGGATCACAGGATAAAGTAAATAAATGTTTATTATGTTCTGGGCCCAGATTCCTTCAACCCAAATGCCCTGAAAAGCAGTATTATTCCCACTTTATGCAGGAGGGGACTAAGACTCAGGGAGGTACAGTGATCTGCTTGACATCACACAGCTCATGAGCGGTGGAGCAGCTTGGTTCGACTCCAAAGACGGTTCTGTTTTTACTGCACCATTCTGCACTACCCTCCGGCTATTCTTCCTCCCCAGGATCAGAGTCTGTTCCTCTCCAACAACCTGGACAGAGTTTAGCAAACACAGGGATGGTATAAGGACAGAGCTGAACTCTGGTCACTCTGCTCCAGGTCCTGACCCGGCCTTTGTTCGAAAGGGACCCAAGGAAGCAAGGAAAGAAAAACTCACGTGTGCCTCTTGTTGCCCAGGTGTGGACACTGTCATACTCTCTGTGTATCTCATCCTATTTAATCGCCTCGGCCATCCTGCAAGGGAGGCATTATCGTTCCCACTTTATAGACAAGAAAACAAGAAGCTGAAGAGTACCTAAGTCACTTTCCCAAGGTCACAGAGGTGGTAAAAACAGAAAGCAGAAGGAGACGTAGCCACAAAAAGGACATCAAAATACTTAGAAAGAAACACCAAGGCAAACATTAAAAAAAGTAGGATTTGAGTCTGCACAAAGATACCAGGAAAATATCCAGCATGTTGTACTTGTGACAACAGGGAATCGAAGGGAGAGTCTCCAAAGGTAACCTTGTGGCAAGGCTGGGTGATCTCACCAAAGAGCCCTCAAGGGCCACGGTGGGGAACCCCAACTCTCCTTGGAAAGCCCCCAAATGGCCGAGTCCCCGACGCTTGATGGTGACGACCAGTACAGCATGCCTGGACCCCACACCACATCTCCCTCCGTGCCCCAGCCTCATTAGAATGAGGCACTTGCAGATGTCCTGATTTTTTCCCCATTAAAGAAAAATAACATAAAACACAATACAACTCTACTTGGTCCAAAACCTGCTTATGAAAACTCTACTTTTGGGAAAGAAAGAAAAAAAGTGGTGTGATTCCCTGTGGAACGGTCTCCATTATGCCTAATTTTGATGGCTGGAAAAGAGAATTAGACGCTTGTTTCTAATTCAACATGCAGCGTCTCTTGGCCCTGTATTAATAAGGAAGATGGAAGAGTGTCTCCTCCCCACCTCTGAACTGCATTTCCCTTCAGCCCCTGATTTCATCCTTTGATTAGATTTTAATCCTCCTTGCCCTTGAACTTCTCCTGCTCTGCCCTACCTTCCTTCCCTGGCCCCGGTAGTTGGGGCCGGAGTCACTCGGCAGCCTCAGTGGATGAGTTCTTCAAGAAGAGGCAGAACTGTGTGGTTGATGAGTCCCACCTGGGCTGTGGCCTGGCCCCTCCGGCTTCTCAGGCAGGCTCATCCTCTTCAGGACCATGTCTGTGCTCAGCCATCCTGCACCCTGTCCTGAGCCGCTGTTCTGGGGTTGTCTGTGCGGACCAGAGGGTAGGAGGGGCCGTGGAGGAAGAAATCCCAAGTCAAAGGACCTGAATTAGAGTCTTGGTTTGCCATGTACCAGCTGTGTGACCTCAAGCAAGTCCCTTAACAGCTCCAAGACTCTGTTTTCTTGGCTCTAGAATGACTAGGGAGAAGGGAGATAAAATGGGAAAACGTATGCGAAAGTGCTTTGCCATCTGCGAGGAATTATATGAATGTCAAGGAAGGTCATGATTCTAAGGGAAAGAGCCCTGGCCTAGGAGGCAGAGAGCTTAGTGCGCAGTAGATGCTCAGCAAACAGGAAGAGCCGAAGTGGAGAGCGCAGGGCTCACCCTGCGAGCAAGAGGGACTGTGGCTTGACACAAGAAGGAGCTTCCCAACAGGTTGGTGAGACACTGGACCCCGCAGGAGGAAGGCAGCAGGAGAATCTTTGCCAGGAGAGAGTTACGGCCTGCCCTCTGTCTCTTAACATTCCCGCTGTACACATGGGGCCCACCAGTTGAGTCCTGCCTGAATGCGCAGGTGGCCGACATTTCCAGGGAGAGAATCCTTGGTCTGGTTCCACCATACCGTGGTTGGAGGGTGCCACGGGAGGAGGGCCACCTGGTAGAATGCCATGTTCCCCAACAACATTCTATCAAATACTAGCATCCTGTGGCCTTTCCGATCAGCAACCTTTTGGGACTTATGGTCCATCCTATTTGGAAGAGAGGAGGTAAACAGTTGTTTTGGCCAGAGGACAACAACTCAGCGTATCCATGCTAATGTGTGCGGTGGATCTCCATGAGGGCGAAACAGAGTGAAGTGTTTATCCAAACATTTCTCCTTCTATTTTTTACTTCAGCCACAAAACACTTAACATCGAAAGCAGTGCTGTCCAGTAGAACTCTCTCTAATGATGGAAATGTTCCGTGTCCGCACTGATTTTGAGTTTGATTCTACTTTGACGTGGGGAACTCCAACACCTCCGAACCCACTGGGTCATTGTGATAATTAAATAAGCTATATAAAAAGTATACATAGTTGGCGCTCAGTTACTCTTTTTCTTGGGTAGCACCGAGTAAATCTTAAATCCGTGTTTATGCAAATAAGGGAATTGAATTGCACATCACAGGGAGGCAGTTGGGTGCAAATGCCTCGTAAAGAAGGTGGTTTTGACCCTTGACGGGGAGGGGGCTGTTGTTTACAGATGCTGGAGCAATTCCAGGGCAGAGAAAGGACTTAAGCGGGGAGAGCAGTTCTGAGAACCCATATAAACAGGAGCCCTGACGGAGAGAACGTTCGTCGGCCAGCCCACCCGGACCTGCAGGCAAGCTGCACAGGATACAGATCTCTGGGGCTCGGGCACAGGGTCCCAGAGGCAGGCAGTGCCCAGCACCTGCCTGACCACATGTGGGTACACAGCTGTCACTGGGAGCACACAGATGCACAGATTTGCTAGAAAGTGCTGGCTCAAATTAGCTAAATCTCATAAACACTAAATTTACATTACAAATTGTCTGAGAGTCAGAGAAGCTGTATTTCTAAAACCTGCATTTGCAAGAAAAAAAAAATGCTTTATCAGGCATTGCCCTTGGACCTTGTTCCATCAGCAAAACCCGCTCTCCAGGGGAAGAAGCTCTTCAGCCCATCAAGTACAAAATGCATCCAATTTTATATTTTCCCTCTCTCTCTCTCTCTTTTTGTAGCTCCTTCACAATGAGGCTGAAAATGTGGGAATTGAGTTTGCAGATGCAAAAAGGCTGGGAGGTTGGCCAGTCTCCCTGTAACCCAGATCTCTCTGTTCCACCCATGCCTGGCAAAGGGTGTTTCTGGACTGCTTGCGCATGCGCGCTCTCTCTCTCTCTCTCTCACACATACACGCGCACGCGCACGCGCACACGCAAGCACACACACACACACACACACACACAGGCAAACAGCCAAGGACGCATGGGAATGCCCAAAGTGGCTGATCATCACCCCTGCCATCTGAGGGAGCCCTCCCCTTCCTGGCGGATCCACGACCAAGGCCAAAGCCGACAGGGTGAGATCCACAAACACGTGGGGACACGTGCGGGGGAGTGGCGGGGGAGAGCTTACATTCTGCTTTGGCACAGATGAGGCAGGCGGTGGTACAGTTGAAGAAGTTCAGGATCCCAGCGACAGCCACGCTGATGTCCGTGTTGCTGGGGTGGAGGTTCAGGGTTGTGAATCGCTGGAACTGGAACTTGATAAACTCCTCGGGGGCCACCTTGAAATGAGGGACCTGGGAGGAGGAGCAAAAACAGGCAGCGGGGAGGATCCAGAATGAAAGCAAAGGAGAGCAGGCACGAGGGAGGCGAGGCTGTGGATGGCGGGTTCTTCTAGGTAAGACCTTTGCCACACTCCCGTGGAGATGGAGCTTGCGGGGCTTAGGACACCCACGCCCCAGGAGGAAGGCAAGATGACGTCCTGCACGATGCTTAAAATAGGAGCACCCAGGATGAGAACCCCTCTGGCCGAAGACCTGGATAAATGTGCTGTGGACCTTGGTGCTGCGGTCTGTGGCCCCAAGGGGGCAAAATCATAGGTCTTTATTCTCAGAGCGACTGCCCACTGCTAGGCAGCCAGACAAAAGGCTCTCGAAGCCATAATCCTTATGGTATTTTATTGGTAGTTAATAAATCAGAGCAGAGGCAGCAAAAAGAGGAAAACACTGCCCTGGGGACTAAGAAAGGAGCCCCATTAGCCCAGCCTGGTCAACAAGTGTGTACAAACCAGCTCCCAGCAAACTTCCTATGTGACAGCCTGGGATGGGTTCCTCCGCAGACATGCACACGGAGAGGGGAGCGCCGCAGGCTGAGAAGCCGTCCAGAGAGCCTCCAAGTGGAGCTAGGTAAATAAAAACGTGATCTGGCTTCGTTAGGACAGTGTCAGCTTCCCTCTGTATCTATTACTGACATTTCCAGGAGGCAATGTCCCTGCCTCCTGCCTTTCTTCTCCCGGGAAGAGATGTTAACAGGCCCAGATGCTGCTGTATTGGTGGCTTAAGCTCCTGGGTAGGTAACAGGAAAGTTAAAGCGTAATAAGCTGCCATCCACCTTGATTTCATTTTGTCACCCTCATCCCTGGTACCCAGAGCCGGGAGAGCTACTTGGTGTTTCTACTGGAGATGGATCAGGAAACCTCAACTCATGTCCTCCCTTAGAACCAGCGTGCTACGGGAAGGCCAAGTTACAACGAGCGTGGGTTTTGAATGATGTTAAAGCAAGTAAGACTGGGGGTAGAGAGCAGGAAGAACTTCCTGGTGGTGAGTTCACTGGCTCCTAGAGTGGGTTATTTAGAAATGACTGCAGAAATTGTCTCGGCTGGGGCTGGCCCAGAGCCTGGGAGGATGTTGAGATGGTGTCTGTAGGATTCTGCTACCTTGTCCTGTTAAGATTCCGGGAGAGGTCAGCCAGAGACAGGAGCTACTTTGAGACTGAGGGAAGGGAAGGGAAAGATTTAGCAGAAACTAGGGAGAGAATTCCTGAATCCATCTAGGATTAGCCCTTGAACCACAGAGAGACTGAAAAATGCAGACCTGGAGAGAGCCTAGTGAGTTATGAGAGAAGACTCAGAAGAGTGAGGTTGATCTAAGGAGTGTCATAAAGGGTCTTTCTTCCCAGCTTGTATTTTGCACTCCATACAATCTGCCTACAAAGAATAACAAATGTACGTACATCTTGAAAGGAAAAACAGGTCACAAAGGGGTAAGATGGAGGCCTAGGCCAGGCAGGGGCAGGGGGGCAGGGTGGCCAGGCTGGCTGGCTTATACATTTGAGCATCTCTGACCCAGGCCCTCCGTGTGTGGCCATCCGGCCTACAGGGTTCCAGCTAACTTACCCCAACAGAATGTACCCGTAGAAATACCCTTCAAGCCACAGACCCTAGAGATGGATCAGGAAAGATACTCAGGAAAATGAAGGACAAACAGGTTTTATGGGTCATAGACTCGGGTTTGCATCCAGGTTCTGCTGTATGATTTGGGGCCAACTGCTGAACCTGTCTATGCTTCCTTAGGACGGATATGCTAACGGGTGCTTTGCGGATCTTTGGGAGGATAAAATGAGAGTGTGCATACGAAGGACATTATAGCTCAGGACCTAACATGTTACAAGTGTTCCAGCAATGTCTTCTCACTTTTCCTTCCCCCTTTCTCCCCAAATCTAGGGGCTCCTGAGAAACCTCTTGAGGCTGTCCTTGCAGGGGGGCGAGGGATGAGGGACCCCTCCAGGAAGCAGAGTTGGTGGGAAGTTTCCTGCACAGCCTGCCATCTTGAAGGCTGCTGGAGAATCAGCAAGCTGTTCTGATGGGCCCAGGCAGGGATGGCCCAGGAGGATCCTGCTGATTCTCTCTAGGACAAAGATCAATCAGTAATTGATTTGCAATTGCAAATGCATCCCAGCAAGTCACTGTGAAGGTGTGTGGGGAAGGAGAGGTGAGGCAGAACGCAGCCAGCCACAGGCCAAAGAGCTGTTAGCGGTATTTAAAGGAATGAACTCCTTGGTGAGAACTCCATTGCTTTTCCCTGGAGTGGAGGGGAATCAGTGTGAGCCAGTTCAGCCTCATAAAATATGAAAAGAAATGTATAATCTGAACGGAGAGGAGAGGTTGCTCTGGAAGGGACACGACCAGACAAAGGAGGGGTCACCGGCTGGCCATTCCCGGAGCAGCACGACCTGCCTGGCTGGTCACTGGCACAGGGGCCGAAGTGGCAGGGTGGGGGAGATGGTTGTAAATCAGGGTCTCTGCCTCTGGCCTGAAATGCCAAACAGGGTTAAGGGAAACGTGTCCCCGAAGCCCACAAGGAGGCCATTCTGGAGTGGGGGTTGGGAGGGTGACCATAAGGAACAGTGAGGCAGCGTGATGGGAGGGAAGGAGGAGAAAAGAGGAAATGGGGAGCTGAAGTCTTGGCAACCTCACTTGGTGAAGATCCCAGTGACTGGTGCTGGAATAACAGCCTGCCGCAGATCTGAGCTGCTACTTGGAGCATGACAAGAAAGATTTAAATTAAACATCAGCTCTAACTTTGGGGGGCCAGGGCCTCTGAGATATGGGTGGATGGAGGGGATACAGTAGGGGCAGAAGCTCCTTTTTTGGCCTGGGATGGGTCAAGAGTCATCTTTCAGGACATCCGAGGGGGTAGGGATGGGGAGCTCTCAACAGAGACCTGGCCCGGGGCAAAAAGGCTCAGGGGGCTTAGCCTACAGGGCAGCGGCCCAGCCCTGGGGCAGCAAAACCAACCGCAGGACTGGGGTAGGGCTGCCCAACATTTTAAAGTGCAGGTCATGATGCTGAGTGGGTTCATGAAATCGGGAAGATGACTATTTTGCCCGAAGCGTCAGGGACTCACCAAGCCTACTGATCATAAAAGGAAGTGGTGGTATCAAGGGGATAGGTTCCAGAAGGTGTGGGGAAGAGACAGCTTGCTGAGGAGGTGTCTGTCCTACAGTGGGTTTTCTCCTATGTCTAGAATCAGATCCTCCCAAAGCTAACGTTTCCGGAAGGCTGAGCCTCCAGGCCCCAGGAGGTGCAAGATTGATCCTTCCTTCCTCTGTCCCTCTGGCCTGCCCCTTCCCTGGCTCCTGACTCGCACCCCCCTACCACCAAGCTCCATCTGTTCTCAAGGACCTGACTAGAAGGCCCTTGAGGCCAGAGAGAGGCTGAGGGGATACTTCGCCACCGTTTCCTGGGGATTTTTGTGAAGGGGCAGACAGATTCTAGGAGAAGCTAGGAAGGATTCCAGCAATGAGCTAACGAACTTTTGCGTTTGTTTTCTCCAGGGAAAGAGGAAGGAGGGAGCTGATGGAACAGGGAGCAGGCTATTACTCAGAAACTCATGCCTGACTGTCTTTATCCCCCATGGAGCTGGAGCCAAAGGAAATGAACTCAACACTGAAACTAGAGAGGCTCCAGGTGCAGGTGACACCTGAGGAAGAATTCACTGACTGAAGAAGTAAACACTGGAATTGGTGAATGGGGCAGAAAATGAAAGAGAACTTTTTTCCTAGAGAATTTATAAGACAGAGGTTTCAAACTTTATTTTAGCAATAAAATGTAGCAGTGCCTCCTCCCAAAGGCATTCTTCACCAGAATCCCGGTATCTAAACAGATAGTCATGAAGCATCTCCTGGGGAGCTCAGACTCCCACCCTCTTGGTGCCCCCCGGACCACCACCTACCACAGCCTCTCCCTCTACCCACCTCTACCAAGGGGCCCCCTGGGGACTCAAAGACCCAGAGGAGCTCAGTTCGAAAATCCTGTTGTGAAACCTCTCCTCTGTGTCTCCTCCACCCAAGCCACCTGGGAAAAATAAATGCCCAACAAAGGACCACTTCTTTTCAATGTTGTGATGTTGTTGTTATTGGTAACACCAACCAGGCCCAAATAGGCTCTTCCAGACCTTGAGAATCCATGACATTTTTGGGCCCGGGGCACGGGTTGCCAGCCCGCAGATGGTCCCCCAACCTGGTAGAGCACTCACCTCCTTCTCCCCACAGATGTTGCTGATGATGGAGCTGGAGGCCGGGCTGGAGGAGGGTCCCAGGACAGCAACCACCCCCTTGGGGAGGATCTGACACACTGCAGCCAGCAACGGGACCACGCGTGGGCAGCAGGAAAGGAAACAAGGCACTCATCAGGTGGGATGGGGGCTGGGTGCCCTGCCTGGGTTTCAGGCTCAAGCCCAACCTTCACCTGCTAGACCCTCACCTTCCACCCCCCCTCCCCACCCGCTTCCCCTGCACATGCTTCCAAACCCAGTGCCTCTCCTTTTCTGGACTATGGGACTCCAGGACAGTTTTACTGGAGTTTATGGATGGTATTAAATGAGGAAATGACCCAGGTTATGACAACATACGGCCACAGCCAACAGGGTGTATAAATTGTCTCGGCTGTCACTGAAGGACAGAGGCTAAGGGCGGAAACCTGCAGACTGCATGCCGCCAGGCCTGCAGTGTGGGTGCTGGGGGGTGCGGCTAGGCACGGCTGCCACGGGCGCTGAAGGCCCTGCTCCCAGAACAGTCACCCGTCGTGCAATCCGTTAGCCTATCAAATATAAAGAGGAAGGGGAAGGAGAAAGGCAGACAAGCAGAGGGAAGAAGCGCAGCGAGAGTGATACAGATGAGAGGAGAAATCAGACTCAGCTAAAGCCAAAAGGAGGAGGAGAGACCTAAGAAGAAAAAGAAAACGAGAGGCAGAAAAAAGAGAGTGAGAGGCAAGGAGGGGGTCTCATGTCTCAGTGCCACCCTCCGCCCCTCCCGTTCACCCCAACCCCTGCACAATGCCCCTGCTTCCCTGAGTGTCTTGGGCTTCCCTGTGGAGAAGGAGCCCTTCCTTCCTCTACTCTGGACACTCTCCTGTCAAAGAGCACCTCAAATGTCTCCTCCTTACACCTTCCCCAGCTCCTTTACGTGGAATTAATCTTCCCCAGGGCTCCCGAAGCCCCTGGTCTGTCTCTCTGTACTAAGTCACTTGTAAATGTGCCTATTTCGGCTTGTTGCTTAGACGTCTTTCTGCTCCCACTAGATGTCAAACCCCATCAGGGCAGGAGCTAAGCCACCCTTCTCTCTAAAGCCCCACTTCTCACCTCAGTAGCCAGCGCACATTTTTCTAGTTGCCCAGTCCATACTCATTGAATGAATGAATGAATGAATGGATGGATGCGTGGGCTATGCGGGCAGAGGAAGAGGAGAGAATCTCAGATTTTAAAACACGAGCGACCAAGAAAGGAAGGACGGGAGAATGACAGACAGACAGAACTTGAGATAATTCTCAGGACTCACACTGTGATATCAGAACCCAAGAGCTGCCCCCTGGAATATGCACTGAGTTTCCCTGACACGCTGTAAGGCATTCTTCCCCGCAAAACTCAAAGCTTGCCTCTGGACACATTTTCTTCCTACTCACGTCAAGAGTCAGGACGAGCCATTTCTCAGGTCAGTAAATTGAGGTTGAGGGATCAGTGCAAGGTTCCTCGCTGAGTCGGCTACAAAGCCACCCCTGCTATCTAGATGTTCTTTCTCCTAGGGTAGGGTCCTAACCATTGGCCCACACGGCCACGTGATTGCCCTCATGGGGTACAGGCAGTGGGGAGAACGTCAGATCCAAATCCTAGTGCTGACCACGCAAACCACAGATCTATACCACGGATCTCAGCTGCCCAAGAGAGGCTGGCTACCAGAGGGGAACTCGTCTCTACTGTGTCAGAACCATTCTCAGTGACCAAGTAACGGCGAGCAGGCTCCAACTCCGAAGAGGGCTCTGCCTGGTTCAAGCAGTGTCCGTGTTGTTAGCTCATGCGATCTCAGCAAGCTTCGCTCTTACTGCCTGTGAGGTATCCTAAGTCATCAGCCATCAGATGACAACAGCTTCAAGGGTGAATCTCAGTTCCTGATTTTACCAATCAGGAAACAGCATCCAAGGGATGTCCAGTGACTCCGCCAGGGTCACTCACCTCACACAGGTCAGAGCCGGTATCGGAAGCCGAGCGTGCTGGCTCCATCCTGTCGGGTGCTCCTTCTGCTCTCTCGAGGCCGCCCACCTCCCGCGGCCACCTCACACATCCCTTCCCACCACTTCAGTCCGGGTCCCCACCCCATCTCTTTCTCCTGAATCTGCTTCCCAAGGTCACCAGTGACTTAACGGTTCTCCTCCTACTCTTCATAGAATTTGATGTCACTGAAGGCATTGTTCTTCCGAATTTCCTAACACCACCCAGCCCTGATTCTTGCCTGCTTCTCTGGTCAGTCTTCCTCACTTCCATTGCCAACTCCTCTTCGCTCTCCACCTGCTAAATCCAGTTTGATCCTTGCCTCCCTTTCCCTGGGCAATGTCACCCTAGCCTTGACCTCCACTCTCGTCCCTGCCCAGGTGATCCTGCGCTCTTACCTACATCCTGGGTTACAAAATCTCGTTCCAAACACCTGCCAGACATTGCCACAGGGACATTGCCACAGGGACTCATCATGTCCATGGCGGAGAGGCAGAAAGCACTCATTTAGAGCTTGGACTCTGATGCAAGACGGCCTGGGTTTGAGTCCTGGCTCTGTCATTTCTAGCTGTGAGGCCCTGAGAATTCACTCTAATTCTCCTACCAAACCTCTCTGGGTGCTCCCTCATCATTAGAACAGGGATTCTAACAGTAGGGGTGGTAGGAGAATCAGAGTGAATTAATACACCCGAGTGCTTAGAATGGCAGTGGCGTGCTACACGGCCTTATTATGCCCACTGCATCACATGTGCTAGATACTTCTCATAATCTGATTTGACCGTCATGCTTCCAGGAAGAAGATTCAGTATTTGTCCCTCTTTACAGATGGGGAGACCGAGGCTTAGAAAATTGACAGAACTTATTCAAGACCACAGGTAATACGTGCCAGAGCTGGGCTTGAACTCAGAGATCCACTGGGCACCAAAGCCCTGAACCACTCCACTTCACCCCACTCAGCTCCGCAAGCTCCCAGCAGAAGACACCTGTGACTTTTCCTTGGCTTCCCTCTCTGAATCCACTCACTATAACCCATCAGTGGCCGGGTTCTGACCCCCCTGACCGGCTTGCCCACCGTCCCCTCCTTTCTACTCCCATTGTGACTGTTCAAAATCAGCCCCTTTTTCCACCTGCCTCGTAAGGGGTTTCTCTGTCTCCAGAACTCTTCCTTTCCAATCCATTCTCCAGACCGTGAGACAAATTACAATCCTAAAACATAGGTGTGTGTGTGCCGCTGCAGGGCAGAAAGCGTGTCTTATTTACCTCTGCACTCTCATACCTGGCACAGGGCCCGACTCAGAGTTATGTGCTCAATAAATAGTTGGTGAACCACACGGAAGCCTGCTCAACATTTTCCGTGGGAAATTGGAAATAAGCTAAGTGTCCAATTACAAGGGAATACTTACCTAAAAGTGTGGGTCATATACCCACATGAAATATTGTTTAGGTATTTAAAATGCTTATGAACAGTTTATAACAGTATTAAAAATATTTATGAAATAATATGAAGAGAAAGAAGGATATAAAATTATACATAGAGGTATATGAAGGCTACAACTAAGCAAATACAAAACACAGTTACGAGCTCAGGAATGACTGGAAGATGTTATAAAAGCCTGTGTTTACTTGAGTCCTAATTATGGCCCATTCTAGCACTCTGTGTGAATGGACTTATTTAATTCTGAGAACGACCCAATGAGACAGGAACTATTATTTCCTTTTACGGACGAGAAAACAAAAAGGCTGAAGGTCAGAGTCAGGATTCACACCCTCAATCCCTGGGCCCTGGGTCAGCATGCTCACCACTGTACCACACAGCCTCCCATGGCTCACGGGGCTTAACTGGACGTTCATGGGGACTGCTGACACTGTATGACTCTCTTCCCCCTTTACTTTCTATTATGAGCATGTATTCCTTTCATAACATGTCATTATAAAATACAGACGGTCATAAGAAAAGTTTCTTCTGAGGAGCAAGTAAAATCCAATTGTATGTGATCTCCTTAAGATACTACCTTTCCACACCTTTCTCCCATTGTGCTCTCGGCTGCTTCACGCCTGCTCACCTGGGGCATGCTTCCTATTTTCCTACTCAAGCCTGTTCCCAAGTAGTTCTCCCTGACCAGACCAGGGATTCTTAACCTGCTGCCTCAGATCTGGGGGTGGAAGTCAGTGGTCTGTGAACACTTTGTCGGGGGGAAATGACATCACTATTTTTTCTCCTAACTGAACTCTGGCATTTCCTTCAATTTTGAACATAGGCAATAAACCACAGTATCTTAACAGTACCTCTGACTTTGTCACCAACAAACATCACAAATGTTTTCCTGTCACCCTGAAGTGCTACAGATAATCCTAAGAGATCATTTATATTATTATTTCAAAATTAGGCTGGCAGTTGGACCTGTTGCTAGGCTTGGCTATTTAGTACATTAATAATGAAGCACATTTTTAATATATCACTATAAAAATATATTTTTTAATTTTTTTATTGTTATGTTAATCACCATATATTACATCATTAGTTTTTGGTGCAGTGTTCCATGATTCATTGTTTGTTCATAACACCCAGTGCTCCATGCAGAACATGCCCTCCTCAATACCCATCACCAGGCTAACCCATCCCCCTCCCCCCTCCTCTCTAGAACCCTCAGTTTGTTTTTCAGAGTCCATCATCTCTCATGGTTCGTCTCCCCCCTGACATACTCCCCTTTTCTTCCTCTCCTGTTATCTTCTTTTTCTTTTTTCTTAAAATATGTTGCGTTATTTGTTTCAGAAGTACAGATCTGTGATTCAACAGTCTTGCACAATTCACAGCGCTCACCATAGCACATACCCTCCCCAATGTCTATCACCCAGCCACCCCATCCCTCCCACCCCCAACCACTCCAGTAACACTCAGTTTCTTTCCTGAGATTAAGAATTCCTCATATCAGTGAGGTCATATGATACATGTCTTTCTCTGATTGACTTATTTCACTCAGCATAACACCCTCCAGTTCCATCCACATCGTTGCAAATGGCAAGATCTCATTCCTTTTGATGGCTGCATAATATTCCATTGTGTATATATACCACCTCTTCTTTATCCATT